GAAATAAATAAATTATATTTATCTTTATAATAATAAAAAATAATAATATTTATTAAAATTTATTAGAAAAATAAAATTATTTCTCAATTGATATATTTATATGTAATGTAGTTATATATTGTAAGTTTTAAAAAAATTAGTATAATATAATACAAGTAAATTGCACAAATAAAAAGTGTCATAATAAATATATAATAATATATATATTCTTATAAAATGTATTTAAATTTTCAAACTACTTTTTCTCATTAATTTTAGATTTTAAGAAAAAAAAATTGCAAGCACCCGTGTAATACACGGGTGTTGTACTAGTATATATTAATCCAGAACGCGCTGAGCTTACGTGGCTGCTTCTGGTGCTTCCAAATCCTATGTGGCAAAATTACATGCTTCGTTATTAAGGTTGGGTAAATTTTAGTTTAATTCCAAACCAAAAATAATTAGGTTCGGATTACCATAAATATGTTGAATATTTTTGGTCATGTTACATGTATTAATTGCATTTTAATATCATCCTCCCTATATATAATTTCAGAATGCGCTGAGCCTACGTGGCTGCTTCTGGTGCTTCGAAATCCTATTTGGCGAAGAATCATGCTTCGTAATTAGGTTTGGACAAATAATATTAATATATTAATAATTAATAATCTAGGTTCGGGTATTCCATAAATATTATTTAGCTAACTTAGGTATTTTAATATCACTTTTACTAATATAACCTTTTAATTATTTGTAATTTTACATAGTGAGACACTAAGTGACTAATATATCCCTAAATTTTGATTTGTTTCCTTCAATAAGCTATTGAATTATAAATGTATTTTAAAAGTAGATAACTTTTGTATTTCTTATCGGTTTTACATATATAATATATCAAATTAATCATCTTTTGATGATCTTCGATTTGACATCCATATTGTATATATAAAATAAATAAATTATATTTTTTTATAATAATAAAAAATAATACTATTTATTAAAATTTATTAAAAAATAAAATTATTTCTCAATTGATATATTTATTTTTAATGTAGTTATATAGTGTAAGTTAAAAAATTAGTTTAATATAACACAAGTAAGTCGCACAAATAAAAAGTATCATAATAAATATAATATATATATATATATATTCTTATAAAAGGTATTTAAATTTTCAAACTACTTTTTCTCATTAATTTTAAATTTTAAGAAAACAATTAGCAAGCACCAGTGTAATACACGGGTGTTGTACTAGTTCCTTATTATAACTATTGAATTATATATATATTTTAAAAGTAAATAACTTTTGTATTTTTTATCAGTTTTAAATATGTAATATACCAAATTAATCTTCTTTTGATGAGTTTCGATTTAACATCCATATTGTATGTATAAAAAATAATTTATATTTATCTATATAACAATAATAAAATTATTTTTAATATTAATTAAAAAAATAAAATTATTTATCAACTAATATATTTATATTTCAAGTAATTATATGATATAAGTTATAAAAACTAATATAATATAACACATGTAAGTCATAAGTAACACATATCATTCTAAATATATAGTAATATATTTTTTTTTGTAAAAAAGTAAACTAAATTTAATATAGTTTTCTTCATTAATTTTAAAATTTAAGAATAATTTTTTAACAAGCACCCGTGTCATGTTGTACTAGTTTCAATTGTAATTCTGAAGGATAGGTATATTAAGAAAAATTATAAATTTCACATACTAACATCTATCTATATATCCATTAAAAACCAATCAACTTGCACTAAAAAGAAATATTATATTCCAACGAAAAAATCTATGTTAATATATTATATTCTAATGAAAATTCTATTAAATATTCCAATAGCATATATAGCTTCCTTTGGAATGTGTTTTTCATTAGAATTTTAAATAATTATCAAAATATTGAGCATACCAATCACATCTACATTTGTTTTGTATAGTAGGAATATTTAACATTTTATCATCGAATAATTAAATTTGTTTAATATATTGGTGCAGTTTTTGGAATAATTCCCGAACTGTCAAAAATAATCTTGCAGATATATATACTAATTTCAATTTTCAAGGTTTAATCAAATTTTAATGAACCTGAAATTCGTCACACAAAATTCTGAAAACAGATACAAACTCAAACAAATGACGCGATGTTGTATATGTTTCCACAGCTGCCCTTGTCCAAACAGTCAACTTACATCAATTGAGACATTTGCCAAACTTATTATTGTGTTTTTTTTTTCTTAAATGATAATTATATTATATATTGAAAAAATCAAAACAAAGCATAGACAAAGTGCCAACGGACACTAAAGATCAGCACAAAGTCTGAATATACCGTTTTAGAATTACTGACGTCTAATAATGTTAAGGAGCCAACTGTTGACTCCTTAGCATTACTGACGTCTAATAATACTAAGGAGCCAACTAAAGAGATACAACAAATGAAAACACACACACAACAAGAACTAAAATAACTCCACAAAGGAGACTAGAACTAGACACAATTGAATCAAAAACGGAAAACTAAAAGAAAAAACATATGAGACAACCACAACACACACTTAAATAATACAACACAGACCTCCTCACAATCGTCAAACACCACTCACCCTCTTCCGCAAGAACAACAACCGATGACAATCCAAGAAAGACAAGAATACGGCCCGGCCCGATACAAGAAACTTCAAACTCCATAACTCTTTAAGCTAATGCTAACTCACTCCGAATCGATAAAAACTGAGACCTCCTTCAGACAACTACTACAAAAAAAAAAAACTGTTACATTTCAACGGAAACTTTCTGTTGGAATTCTTTATATATTCCGTTGGAATAGCTATTCCAACGGATATTCCTACGTATAAAACAGCCGTGGTAAAAACGACCGTTGAAATAGCTAAAATCTAATGGAAAATCCTATGAAAATAAATTTCTACAACTATTCCACCGGAAAAAATCTGTTGAAATTTCTCAACTATTGAAACATAGACCAACACTTTTTCCAACATTAAGTTAAAATTGTTGGAATATTCATTGGAATTTCCAACGAAATTTTTTGTCATTGGAATTAAAGTGTTTTTTTGTAGTAAACAATACCAGAAGACTGGGATCCATCTCCTCTCCCAACACACACCGGCGACTTCGACTGATTCCGACCAAAGAAGAAATTCACCGCCGCCGGAGGGCACCGTCGAGACCCACCCTAGAATTGTGGACGGTCCAAACAAAATTGTCAATCAATCAAAATTGTGGACAGTCCAAATTGAGGCGAAATACGCCACGACAACGTGAAATATTCGAAGCAGCTAGTCAATTTATGGCTACCAATTATCTATTGAACAGAACTATAAACTCATTTTATGTCTGCCAATGACTAACTGAACAGAACTATAAATGAATTTGTGTACTGAAAGTTAATTAGGTGAGACAATAACGTGTCACACTTTTTTTTTTAATACTAGTTGTAATATATTTATATTACAATTGGACAGTTCGGGCAGCCCACTCCGGCAGTCTTGGGCAACAAGATAAAATCACCCATATAAGGGACTGAGGTATGCCCATTGTTGAATTACACACTCTCCTATGTACACTTACATACTGTTAGAATATCACTTGTGAGTTGTCCCACATGGTTCATACATGGAAAATGGACCCACCTTATAAGTCTAATGGGCTACTCCTCCTTCCACCAATTGGTTTTGGGATGGAACCCCACTTGGGCTTCATATGGGTTTTTCCCTCTCATGGTGCGTGTTAGTAGGCCGCACCTGTTTTCCCCCCAGTTTCTTACATGGTATCAGAGCCGGTTCTATTGGGACCGTGTGCGATGACGTACCCGTTTATGGGAGTCTGCTTCCCCACGTACCCGTTTATGGGAGTCTACTTCTAGTAGGCTTGGGGCACCCAGTTGGGCTTGGGCTTCTCGCATCCGTTTATGAGAGTCTGCTTCCCCACGTACCCGTTTATGGGAGTCTACTTCTAGTAGGCTTGGGGCACTCAGTTGGGTTTGTCCTTCCGAAGGACTCACAAGTGAGGGGGCGGGTTAGAATATCACTTGTGAGTTGTCTCACATTGTTCATACATAGAAAATAGACCCACCTTATAAGTCTAATGGGCTACTCCTCCTTTCACCAATTGGTTTTGGGATGGAAACTCATTTGGGCTGCATATGGGCTTTTCCCTCTCTTGATGCGTGTTAGTGGGCCGCACCCGTTTTTTCCCCCAGTTTCTTACACATACTATTCATCGTTTTCTTCCTCGTGCTAAATTAAGCATCATAGGCTTTTCACCGAGAAACCACTCCGGTGTCAAGTTTTGAATGTTTTGAAGGTCAACCACCGGCAAGGATGATAGATCCAGGTCTAACCGAGCCGGTCAAGGGTCCTTTCATACCATTGCCCAATATTTAATTTATAAACTAAATATTAACATGATATTTATTTATATAAAACTGTTCTTAATATTTATTATTTAAATTATAATAATGATAAAATTATTTTTAGTATTCCTATCTCGTGCATCGCACAGACGCGTACTAGTTATTCTATAATTTTAAAAGTTAAAGTATAAAACTACTCCAAAAATATCATATGTTGGCATATAAGTAAGATTAGAAAGCAAAGTGACTACAAAATAAGATCGCAAAGTACCAAAAGTTAGACATTTAAACTCGGGAAACTCTTCATTTATATAGAATGTAGTTTATCAACGGTTGGCATATGGTCTGGGAAAAAATTCCAATGAAAATTTCTACAACAATAAACCGTTCGAAAAATGATATTGCGAGTGATTATGATAAAAGATTTCAAAATGACTTTTTTAATAATACAAATTTTGAAATATGGTACGTACACATACAAATTTAAGTATACCTCTTAGGCGCAAAGGACTACTGTCTCTCTATATATAGCACAAATAAACTCTGCATCTTTGTGTATATAAACAACATATCCTTTCTGAAGCAAAACTTTATATATCAGTCCTATAATTTTAACATCATGGCTGCTCAAGTAAACTTAGATGTTCCCACTTGTCTTGTCAAGGAGCTCGGGATAAGCCACGACGACTATCCCGGTGGTTATAAATCCGATGAGATTAATAATGGGATTTTCCTGACATGGAAGGATTTGTGGGTGACTGTGCCGGAAAAGGCAATGGCCGGGGTGGAAGGGCGGCGGCCCATACTGGCGGGAGTCACCGGGTATGCCGAGCCAGGGGAGGTTTTGGCCATTATGGGGCCTTCCGGCTGCGGAAAATCTACTCTTCTCGATGCATTGGCAGGTAATTAATTGTTGAATTGGGTAATTAATTTCGTAAAATTTTAAATTATATTTATATTATTTTTATCTTATAACTAGCTGATAAGATAGCTTATAGCTTATATGTAATTTTTGAGTTTATAGCTTATAACTTATGACTTATAGCTGAAAAGCTAGCTTATATGATAAAAGGTGTTTGGTAAATTAGCTGATAAGCTAGCTGAAATAAAAAATCCAACTAGCTTATTTGAAAAGCTACCTAAAGTAGCTTATGAAATAAGCTCGAGCTTTTTAAAAAAGCTCGTCCTATCAAACGAGACTTATTTTAAACAGGGAGCTTATAAGCTAACCAAATAAGCTATAAGCTAGCTTATTTGGCTTACTAAACATACCTTTATACATCATAGTCTTTGTAATATTATATTTCATTATAAATATTTATATCCTATACCTATATATAGATTTATTTTAAGAAATAAAAGGTTACAAAAAAATAATGATTGAGGAAAATCGAGTTGACCAGGCCGAGTCAATACCCTAGTGACGTGATCAAGGCTGGGTCGACCGAGTTTTGGCCTGGTTCCTTGCTATATATCGGTTAGGATTTCGAAACATTGATTTTTGTAGTTACTGTATAAAACCAGAATTTCATGTGCTCATTGATAATCAAAGAGATTAGGCATGTTTGATAAATCGCGATTTGGGCGAAAGTTGGCGGTTTTGAGCCACTCTGTTTGGAAAACGCCATTTGAGAAATAGTTGGTAATTGACTTTTTCAACCACCTTATTTTAGGTAACCACTGCTAATGAAAATGCTATAGAATGGATCGTTTGCTAATAGGGTTGTAAGCGAGCCGATCTCGAGCCTTTAACGAGCTTGAAATTGATCTTTTACACTTATAACGAGCCGAATTCGAGCAGATTTCGAGTTTTAACAGGCCGAGCTATTAAAAAAATAAAAATTCTTTTTTCGTGCCTTATCTAGTCGAGTCGAGTTCGGCTTATTTACCAAACGAACTTTAAATGAGCTCGAGCTCGACACGTTTAATATCAAACGAGCCGAGCCAAATTCAAGCCTTAACGAGTCGAGCAAGACTCAATTTAACAGCACTATTTACGAATAGTCAGATTTCTGACGGCTTTCTTGGTACTCTAGTCGCTTACGAAATGAATTAATACAATCATTCTTAATTCGACATTTGACATACGCCCAAGATGTGGACATATGGTCCTAATTATTAATTTTGTGCCATAATTTTATTTTTTTTCAGAAAATTAAATAAAATAATAATAATAATAATAATAATAATAATAATAATAATAATAATAATAATAATAATAATAATAATAATGTGATTTCAGGGAGGCTTGATTCGAGCACCAGACAGAGAGGGGACATTCTCATCAATGGCCGCAAGCAGGCACTCGCATTTGGCACTTCTGTACGGTCACCAAAGCCTTCACTCGTCAAAACAAAGGAAGAAAGATGTTACGGAACCATTTCGTCGAGATTTGTAACCGTTAGATTAATTATTTCTGACGGTTACATGATGATCTAACGGTTACAAACCCCGATGGAATGATTTCGTAACAGGACCTCAACATTTCCCCAAAACAACACCTAATTAAATCTTAAATTTATTTAGTCAGTGCCTTAATTTTGTACATCAAGTGCCGTGAAAATGTCCGTGGTAATTAATGCAATTTTTTTGTTGGCTTAATCTCATTATTAGGCCTATGTGACTCAAGACGACACGCTAATGACAACCTTAACCGTACGAGAAGTCGTTCACTACTCGGCCCTGCTCCAGCTCCCCGACTCCATGTCCGTGCCGGACAAGAGAAAACGGGCCGAGCAGACGATCAAGGAGATGGGCCTGCAGGACGCGGTCGACACTAGAATCGGGGGGTGGAGCGTGAAGGGGCTGAGCAGCGGACAAAAGAGACGGGTAAGCATTTGCTTAGAGATCCTGACCCGACCGGAACTACTCTTTCTCGACGAGCCCACGAGCGGCTTGGACAGCGCGGCTTCTTACCACGTCATGAGCCGGATAATCAAACTTGCGAGACAGGACAAAAGGACAGTTGTGGTCTCTATTCACCAGCCAAGTGGGGAGGTCTTTGAGCTCTTTCACAATCTGTGTCTTTTGTCGTCGGGGAAGATGGTCTACTTTGGTTCTGCTTCGGCAGCAAATGAGGTACAGAAAAAAAAATTTATTACAAAAATTATATAAATCATTTCTTCTTAAGAAAGTAGTTAATTAGTGTGGTGCAAATGAATCAAAATAGACATCCTTTTTGTCTATAAACTCTTTTTGACATGTTTTTCTGCCTCAAATTTATGGTAATTTCGAAACAGTTTTTTGCCTCAAATGGTTTTCGCTGTCCATCTATGAGAAATCCATCCGACCACTACCTCAGGACTATAAACAAGGACTTCGATGTCGTGAGTTTTTCTCTTCGTGAAATTATTCGATAGGTTAGAAATTTTGTTTAATAAAAACGGCATGCATACTTGTGACGAGCAATTACTTATTGTTTTATATAGGAAATCGAACAAGGATTCCATAGTCTAATAACCGCAACCGAAGCCATTGATTTTCTTGCCAAGTTGTACACCTCGTCCGGGGCTAATCACCAAGTACAACAACGGCTACAACAGATCGTGGGCTTGAAGGTATTACAAATGTATCTCTAATAGCGAAATAACTTCAAAAACAATGTTTACTAATTCGGTATATATATCCACATATGATGGTATATATGACCGAAATTCAAGAACAGAGAACCTCTGGAGATCATGAAGGAGAAGCATGCCGGATTAGCTACACAATGCCTTGTTCTGACTCGAAGATCTTTTGTGAACATGTATCGCGATTTGGGTTATTACTGGCTTCGTCTAGCTATATACATTGCAGTATGCGTGTGCGTGGGGACAATATTTCACAACATTGGCTATAGTTACAGTTCCATCCAGGTAAACTTTTTTTCTCGGTGTAAGAAAGTTCACGGGTTAAAGTTGCTTGTTATGAGTTTTGCACAGATGATTTCGTCGAAAATTTTTGTCATGAAAAGTGTTTGATTGTCTTTCCAGGCAAGAGGCTCAATGTTGATGTTTGTGGCTGCATTCTTGACCTTTATGGCCATTGGTGGCTTCCCTTCTTTTGTGGAGGAAATGAAAGTAATGTTGTCTTGTCTTGGCCCTTCCCTTTCTATACTTCGTGATATTATATATTCTCTAAATTATTTCTTACAGATTTTCTCACGTGAGCGATTGAACGGCCACTATGGCGTGGCCCCATTTGTGGTTGGGAACACACTATCCTCCATCCCCTACTTGCTATTGATTTCGGTTGTGCCGGGCATAATAGCCTACTACTTGGTCGGCCTCCAGAAGAGCTTTGACCACTTCGCCTACTTTGCATTGCTCTTGTTCGCGTGCATGATGTTGGTTGAGAGTTTGATGATGATTGTGGCTAGTATCGTGCCTGATTTTCTCATGGGGATCATAACTGGTGCGGGCCTCCAGGGCATGATGATGCTATGCGGAGGGCTTTTTCGACTGCCGAACGATTTGCCAGTGCCGTTTTGGAGGTACCCGATGTACTACATCGCGTTTCACAAGTACGCAAATGAAGGGTTTTACAAGAATGAGTTTGAGGGCTTGAAGTTTGAAGAGGGAGTTGGATGTGGAGGGATGTCAAGGAGTATTGGTGGGGATGAGATATTGAGGAGTGTTTGGCAAGTTGAGATGGGATACTCCAAGTGGATTGATGTATCCATCTTGTTTGGCATGGTAGCTTTCTATAGGATTATGTTTTTTGCTATAATAAAAGGTGTAGAGAAGATTAAGCCTATGATTAGGAGGTATATTTGTAAGTTCAATCGAGCAGTCCACATAGAATAATTTGAATTATTATCATTACTAGGAAGTCATGTTTATGCACAACACAGCCGACTCAATTTAGGTGTATCGATGAATGTTGTTACTAATTTTGAACATGTGGATCCGTCATTGTACAAACGATGCAACCAACATGGATTATGTACATTAGCTCATCAAAACATGTTTTAAGTGTTGTTATTTAAGCACACAATCAAAATAAGGTTGTTGCTGCAGAATATGCCATTCGTCATTATTACTATCGCAGAATTCGAACACATATACATATAAATAGATGCTTCCAATTCTACGAAGAATTTAAACAAAACAAAAAACGTTCAGTTTCACAGCACTTGTGTCGTTCAAAAGTCTAAAGCTGCAGGAGCAGAAGCGTTAATCCATCTTCGGACAACTTTCTTTTGAAGAGCTTGCAAAAGGTTACACGCTAACTAAGTAAACTAACTAATCACAAGATATTAACTATCCTTAAATAACTCCTCAAATAATGCACAATATATGACACATATATATACACGATAACACCCGGCGGGCTGGGTTGGCCCTTGGCCACCTCTACTTGAGCTCATATGCTCTGCTCAGTTGGTCTAGCCATCGGTCGGTCCTGCCTTCAGTTAGGCAGTTAGGATTTCAACAAGGCCATCCGAAGGCCTTAGTTCGGCTTGTCTATGTTCCTGAGATCTGTTACTTGAGCTCATATGCTCTACTTTTTTATATCAAATAGTTTAGGTTTGAA